CAATTCAAGTGTTTCAAAAACTGTCTTTTCTAAGATAAGAGAATTACGAGCAACGTGGATTACTTTCAATCTAGGATATTTTTAGTAATAAAACAATTAAAATAGAAAAGCATTAATTAAAATACCAATTTTTAGAAATATATTTAATGAAAAAAATGTTAATCAAATTTTACCTTTAATTTCATTTAAAATATTTTCGCGTTTTTAAGATACTTATAATAAATAATTCTATTTTTGATGAACTTTACTTTGGAATTTTCCAAAACAATTTTTTTGTTACTGTTAAACCATGTTCGAGGATTCTCAATAATCGAGGTACCAATGTAAATATATTTAAAGAATATAAATAAATTTTCATAAAATATACTTTAGTTGTTTCATATTCTTTCGATTTTTTTTGCCAGGATATAAATAACTCTTGATATTCTCCATTTCTTTCTCTAACTTCTTTATGCATTTGATTAATTATTCCCTTGAAAGAATCACGCTCGTTTTTTATTTGATTCAATTCTCTCTGTAATTTGAAATAATTGAAATAAAATTAAATTAACTAATTTTAGATAAATTACTTTAATGTCAGCATTCTGATTATAAATTAGAAGAAATTACAAGTAAATTTCCTTGGTTATTTTCCTCATGTTGAACTAGACAACGAAGATGTTTTATTTCATCCAATTGAGCTTCAGATACAAGTAGCTGATTATTCAGAGACTCTTGCAATCTTCTTTTCTCAAGTTTGGATACTTTTAACTTAATAAAATGTTATACTTATTAAACAATAGATTAAAAAATAATCTGACATTTTTCAAAAATATAATTTTTATAAAAATAATCATTTTAGTAATAAACTCACAAAATACATACTTTTGATCTTAAATCTTCCACTTCGATAGATGTTTGATGTAACATATTCTAAAAAGTGTGTACAAAATAACTATTAATTAACATTCAGTAAGCACATATTAATGAAGTATTTATTGTTAAAAATTAAACTAAAAGACGATAATTTTAGCTTCTAAATTTAATTTTGTCGAAGTCGAATGCTTCATTAATAACACAGGTCCACAAAAAAAATTTGTTGAAAGGTTCCTTTGACTAAACCTGGTGTATTATATGTTTTTGGGGTCGCAGATAACGAATCTGAAGTCCATTTTGCTCCATCACGTCAGGATTTTTCCTAACCTCAAAATGTATATCAGATTTTACGTGACAGATAAAATTCTATAAATATTGACGGACTTACCTTAATCTTTATATCGAGGGTTTATTGGAGTTACTGAATACGAATTACAAGGCAGACTTTCAAAATACAAAATGGCGGATCCAATATGGCGATCGGATTTTAAAAAAAATTTTGAATTTTTACGAAACTTGGTATCGAGGGGTTTTTGGGGTCGCTAATTACGAATTTAAAGTCAGATTTTTGAAATAAAAATAAAGGATCTAATATGTCGGTGGAATTTACAAAAATATTTCTTGAATCTTTGCAGAACTCGGTATATAGGTGTTTTTAAGGTCACTGACCATGAAATCTTTTGTGGGCCTGTATCCACGGCAACTCCACGTTGTGACGGCAGGCAACGGAGTTGTTCCGTGATCTGTCAGAGTCCTAAAACTCACAGATACTAAGTTTTGTAAAAATTCAAGAAATTTTTATAAATCCGACCGCCATATTAAATCCTATAATTTTATTTCGAAAATCTGACTTTAAATTCGTAATAGGCGACCCCAAAAACTCCTTGATACCAAGTTTTGTAAAAATTGAAGAATTTTTTTAAAAACCGACCGCCAAATTTGATCCGCCATTCTGTATTTTGAAAATCTGCCTCTAAGTTCGTAATCAGCAATCCCAATAAAGCCTTAATTCCAAGATTGAGGTAAATCCGTCAATATTTATAGAATTTTATTTGTCACGTAAAATCTGATATGTATTTTGAGGTTAGGAAAAATCCTGACGTGATGGAGCAAAACGGACTTCAGATTCGTTTTCAGCGACCCTATAAACATATAATATACCAGGTTTTGTCGAAGGAACCTTTCAACGAATTTTTTTGTGGACCTGTGTAATTATTATTTATTAATTTTCACATAAATTCTATCCAAAAAGATTTTAGACATCTAATAGATGTCACTGATTGACGTTAAAGTCAAATTCTTTATTCATAAATAAGCTTCGTTTTCCGTACCCAGGTAAAAATTATTTGTACGAATTTCGTTCCGAAATCCAGCCAAATTCGTACAGAATTCCTATCGAATTCGTATGAAATTACTAGTAAAATTCGTGTGGCGTTTTAAAACGTTTTTTCGCACGAACATTCATGCGAATAGTACCCGGATTTTTTATAATGGATTTTCAAAAAATGATTCGTTTGGAAATCCGTATGGAAATTCGCTCGAAATGTCAGCAAAAAATTTATTCAAAAAAATTTCGACCAAATTTCCTTACGAATTTTGTACGAAATACAAGCGAATTACCACCGAATTATTCATAAAAAATTTATAAAAATTTATGCTCGGAAATTCGTATAGAATCCCGAACGAAACGTCAGCTAAAAATTTCTTCAAAGCAATTTCGAAAAAATTTCCTTACGAATTTCGTATGGAAATTTCTCCGCAAATTCTTGAAGGAATTTTTAGCTGACATTCCGTGCGAACTTCCATATGGATTTCCGAACGAAATTTTTTTTTTTGAAAATCCGTTTAAAAAAATCCGGGTACTATTCGCACGAATATTCGTTCGAAAAAACGTTTCAAAACGCCACACGAATTTCACTAGTAATTTCATTCGAATTCGATAGGAATTCTGTACGAATCTGTCCAGCTTTCTAAACGAAATTCGTGGGAATCATTCTTACCTGGGTATTTTATTACGCACCATTATGTATATCAACCTAAAAATAACAATTAAACACTTTTTTAAAATTTGCAATGTCATTAACAGGATTCTACCGTTTTATATTATCTCTAACTATCCTTGCCCCGTGAGTCCATATTTCAGTTTTTTCTAAATTTTATGGAACAAAGTGAATTAATTTAAAAATAATTACGATATTCGTGTTCAGCAGGAAATTCCACTCCGGAAAACACTTACGTAAATAAATATTCTGAAATTCTAATATAGAAAACAATATAATAACTCCTAACTTCGCAAATGGTGACAGGTTGCATTCCAATTTTTACTATCATCTTTTGATGTTAAGACGCGAATATACCATGAATTACGCGATTTTTGAGCAAGCCGTCTAAGCATAACAGCAACTAACTATCCTTGCCCCTTAACTATCCTTGTCCCATCATCCCCTATATTTTATAAAAGTATTTTAAAAAATAGATTATTTTGCATTATCTAAAAAATAATCCCATTATTGACAACAAACCTTTATACTTAACACAGTGTCACTCATGGCACTAATTTTCTCTTCCTTTTCTTCTAGTTCAACGTTTTTCGCCTAAATTAGAACATATAATTATTTGTAATTATTATAAAATTCTGTTTAAAAAAGTGATTGACAATTTTAATTTTTTATTATAATTATGATGAATTACACAGTTTGACAAAATGTTGCTACAAGAATAAACGAAAGTGATTCTTACAGGATTTTTGCCGTAGATTACGAATCTGTAAATGAAATTGTCCCATCAAGTCTCATTTTTGAGAAAAACGGGGTGGTCAAAGTGTCAAAAAATGGCATTTTTGGCACTTTTTGAAGCACTATAAAAAAAGAACGCGACGTGATAAAAAGCTCAAGTATGGCTTAAATAAGAGCTCGAACCCTCAACTTCAACATCATAAAGCAAAAAACTATGTAGAAATAACGCAAAATTGTGGGGAACAACTTTATTTAGTTTCATACTTGAAACTAAATATGTAATTGAAAAAAATAATTCGGGAATAGTTCCTGAATTCGTTCCTAAATTGAGGATATGAGCAAAAGTCGGGAATTATTATAGACCAGTTTCGTAGCCACCTTCAAGCGGGCGCTGGTAAAATTAGGCTTGTCAGCTCTGGATCACACCAGAATATCGCATCACCTATAAGCCAATCCGACGGAAAGGCGTAATCAACAAGGTAAAAACAGTCTTCGCCTTAGACTGCACGACGGGAACAATACTAAAATTGCAGTCCCATGGCGTTTTTAAGCGGACATGACAGGGTACCTTTACTATAAAGGTCCGTTTACAAAGCAACGAAAAACGCAGCCATGCAAACAATGATGGTTGCGTGTAATACACTGGTAATACATGTAGTTACGTAGATACATTCATCTGTGTTGTCAGTTGTCATGTGTGGATGATTGATGAAGGACAGAAGCCGGTCTAATGTCGATGATCAACTTTAGAAAATGTAATTGAAGGTGAGTTTACTTGCATTTAATAGAATTTATACAAGAGGATGATTGCCATACTTCCAAATTGTCATAATTTACAAAGAAGGATGAAAATCTGAAAACAGTAGGGTGTTGTGAAGTTATGTGCAACGTTTTTTTTCGTTAGACAAAAACCATGTCAAATAATTAAATTTTTAAATATTTCAAAATTGAATGACTTGTGACGTGTAATTTTAACTATTTTTAATTTAGTGTAAAACTTCTGCTTACGTCAGGCAAAATCCGACGTTTTCAACAACAATACAATTTGAAATTTACATAAATAAATTTCGCCGTCAGGCGCCAATTAATTTTAAAGATAATTAATAAACTTAAACTCTGCTCGACTAACTAACAACAATATCTACACCTCTGAGTTTCTCTCTCACTCAGAGGGAATTCTGCCCGAACAGTTGACAGCAGAAAAGCCAACGGCGAGACACGACTGGTTTAATACTGGCAACAATGACTTACCCACGGTGATCTACCCTGGGGCTTCTCCGTTTAATCTCCCTCTTTGGCTCGACGTGACTTCTTCTCGCAGTCGTGATCCTCAGTAGGGAATTTAAATGGGAACTTAAAACAAAACAATTTTTTACCAATTATTTCTTCTAAACTACACTATTTATTTTATCCTAAATGAACTCCGAGTTTCACACTCCACTTCTCAATTCAATTCACTTTTACAACTCGAAAATATATTTAGAACTTCTCGACAGCAAGATACTGGTGTACCGGCGCGGTATATAGAAAATTCTATTATGCCGGCGAAAGTATTGGACACCTGTCGCGTCTCTACTTTCACCGCACGTGTTCGTCCTCTTCATCATTCCGTCTCCCTCGTTCCGGTGGCTCTCCTCTTTCTACTCCTCACTGGCCCTGCCCTCTGGCCCTTTCTCCACTACTAACTAGCCGCCTGACACACTTTCATTACTGCTAGTGGGTCAACTGGCGGCACTAGTTTTCTCCTATTACCATAATCGTTGACAAGTCGGTTCGGGGATTTTTCCGACAGATGGCTCTCCTCTTCCTCCGATGGTCCTTCCTTGATGGACCTGGTGATCACCTCCGCTATTTCGTTTGTCTCGAATTTCGTCTCGCTGATCTCTACTACTTCATCGTACCGCCCTGGACAGCCTGCGAAACGACAATACGCTTCGGCACACCTTGGGCAATTTTTAACTGTCGTCTCCCGACGCCCGCAGTTTCGGAAAAATTGATGTCGGATTAGATGAGGGCAGTCTACCACTCTGTGGCCACGCTCCCAACAGTTGAAGCAGCAAAACGGAGGCGGGTCTAGGATATCTGAGGTCGGGATTTCCTTGAGGCCTCCAAAGATTATCCCAGATTTTCTCGGTATCCATAGTTTGTTTTCTTTACAGTTCTCTCCCTTTCGGCTGTTTCTCTGAGGCTCTTTGGGACGTGTACCCGTCTCTACTACTCGTCTCACCGGTGGCCCTGGATGAGGTGAATGGAAACGTTGAGCTCTTGGTGTTGGCTCTCCGCTCTCCATGTCCTCTTTTCGGAGCACCGGTTTGGCTCTGGCCTCCTCCAAACCCATCGATGTCATTGGTCCTTGTGGATTAAGGAATACCTCCAACTCATATTCGGCGAGTCGGCTCTCGTATTCCTCCTGGCTCTCGTTCTTCCTGCGATCAGCCGGCCACCGGTACGGCACCACTACCTCGGCACCATTAGATCGTATCTTTGCTTTCGGCTCCTTTTTATATAACTCTAGTCCACTTAAATCCGCCCAGACCTCTGGTGGCACAATCGGTTCTGTTCGCGGACCCACGGCACCTTCTCTTTCTACTAAGCTGGATCTCCTTACTGCTTCCGATGGCATTCCTGGCTCTCCTTTACAGTTGACTCGGCGGACTACTAATGGCTCTTGCTCTACTCTCTCGACGATTGGAAATGACAAATATGATGGGACCACCATCCTGGCATTTCCGGTATCAAACTCCGGGAAAGGACGGTGCCTGGGCTATGACCTTCCAAGCCCCTCCGATCGGTTTCTCTTATTTCCGCGTTCTTCTCGTCTTTGTCCACTTCCATTCCTCACTCGACGGCTCCCTGGTGTGTTATAAGGCATGGCTCTTCTCTTGTCTTTCCTCTCAGCACACCTCCTCTCCACTTGGCTCTTTGTTCGATCTAAAAAAAAATATATTTAATGTACGATAAAAACAATGGTGATTTACAACGGTGGGTTAGGTAAGTATGGTTTCAGTTCGGTTATGTGGACTTTAGGTACTCGTCGGCTCTGTTCGTCTCGCAAGATGAAAACCTTTGGCGACAAGACATTAATGATCTCATATGGACCTTTGTATTTCGGCGCTAATTTGGTCGCGAACTTCTGTGCCCCACTGGACAACTTATGGGTTTTTCTCAACACTACGTCGCCTACTTTAAAAGTCGGGTCCCTCCTACCTTTGTCGTAATATTTCGCTTGTCTCGCTCGCTCTTTGTCAATATGTCTGATTACTATATCTCTCAACGCGTCTAACCTCTTGATTCGATCTATCCACTCTTCTGGCTCTGTCCTGACTACTTTTCTCTTTCCTTTGACCTCTCTTCGCAGGCTCTTCACTGGCTTAGAGTGTCTTTCGTAGTTCAAGAATGCGGGGGAGGTCTTGGTTGCCGTTTGTATTGCTGTGTTCACAGCGTGGCGGAACTCGTGAACATAAAGATCCTATTTTCTATGATCGGCACCAATGAAAGTTGAGATCATAGTTTTCAGTGTCCTGTTGCTCCTTTCGACTTCCTGGAACACCACTAGGTACTTGCAATGGATCTTACTCGGCGGAAACTTTATTGTGTCGGCGGCTACTACTGCCCACGGCCTCTAAACAATTCTCTGACCCATTAATCCGACTGGTCCGGCTTGAGATACCTTATGTAATTGTCATTGAAGGCAATGTGTTACATACTGGTGTACATAATTCCAAATGCCTGGCCAATAGTACTCTCGTGCTATTCTGTCGTAGGTTTTCTCAATACCCAAATGTCCAGCTGAGGTTTGGGCGTGTCCATCTTCCATGACTCTCGCTCTGTATTCTTCTGGCACTACTAACTTCCAACCGTCCTCATCTCCGTTTATCGGCAATAAAAGTGGGTCACTTCTGTGGCGATATAAGTTCTCGTTCTCAACGATCCACTCTGGGAACCTCTGAGGATGTTGGTTCACCAACTCACGGCGTTTGAGGTACCATTGGTCCTCAATGGATTCAAACGCGGCTACTGACTCTTCTTCGTCTTCTTGAAGCCTGGACAATGCATCAGGGACGTGATGTTGTGCACCTCGTCTGTGAACTATGTCGAAGTCCCATTGCTGCATTTCCAAGGCCCACCTGGCTAACCGGCCTGTAGGATCTTTTAAGTTCCTGAGCCATTTTAGGGCACTGTGATCCGTGATTACATGGAATTTGTACCCCTCAATGTACGGCCTAAACTTTTTGATCGACCACAGTAATGACAGACACTCCTTTTCTGTCACACTGTAGTTTCTCTCTGGCTCCGTCAGAACTCGGCTGATGTAGACTATTGGGTGCTCTCCGTCTTCAAACTCTTGCGTCAGTACGGCTCCAATGGCATAGTTGCTGGCGTCACACTGAATTGTGAATTTCTTCGTGACGTCAGGTCGGGCTAAGACTGGCGCAGATGTCAGCTTCTGTTTCAGTTGTTCAAAAGCTTCTTGTTGCTCGTCCTCCCACTCCCACGTTCGGCCTTTGTGTAGCAACTTCAACAATGGTATTTTGATTTCGCTGTCGTTTGGAATAAAACGGGAATACCACCCGACCATGCCTAAGAACCGTCTGAGTTGTCTCACGTTCTTCGGCTCTGGATAATTTCTCACCGGCTCTGTTTTACTCGGATCTGGTCTTAAATCCTCTCTGTCCAATAAGTAACCCAAATAAGTTACTTCGGAGCACCCGAACTCACACTTATCCGGATTTACTATCAACTTCGCCTTGTTTAATTCCTTGAGGACGAACTCTAACCACTTGACATGTTCTACAAAGGTGTCTGTGACTACTATGATGTCGTCCAAGTACCCGAAGACATGCAGCTCTACTGTTGGTCCTAGTAATGAGTCGATCATACGTTGGAACGTCATCGGCGCATTCATTAGTCCAAATGGCATTCGTCGAAACTGCCATAATCCTTATCCCGGTATGGCAAAGGCTGTATATTTCTTGCTTTCTTCGGCCATTGGAATTTGGTGGTATGCCAGCTTGAGGTCGACTTTTGACAGATATCTGGCTTTCCGGAGCTTGTACAAAATGTAGTCTATAGATGGCAGTGGGTAACAATCTTTTATTGTTACTTTGTTAACATCCCGATAATCATTGCACTGTCTAAAGTTATTTTCTCCTCTTTTCGTGATTACTGGCGCATTTCTCCAACGGCTGTCAGATAGCTCGATGATGCCTAGTTTGTACAGATTTGCAGCATTACCTTGGGCCCAAGTTAACATGGCTGGCGACATTCGTCTAATACCATGTTGTACTGGCGTTTCGTCCGTAACACGTATGTGATGTTCCGTTAGATCCGTCATTACGTGTTCTTCCGACTATGGCAATACCCATTTGTCCACCAGGGCTTGAATGATACCCTTTTGTTCGTCATCGAGCGCAGAAATACCGGCACACTCGGCAAATATTAAATTCTCGTTCTCGTCTCTTTCTCTTGGCCCAAACTCATGCCATTCTCCATTGAATACTCTCCATAATCCCTTTTTCAGCTTCAGTTCCATGTTCCAGGCCTTGCAGAAGTCGATGCCCAAGATGATGTCCTGAGTCAAAGTGTTCATTACTTTGACTGCGAATCCTTGTGCGTATCCGTCGACTACTATGTTAAGATCCAGGATACCGGCTGTTTCTGTGATACCTCCTGTTGCACTTCTTACAACTGTACCACACGGCTGAATTCGGCTTTTAAACGGCTCTGCGACTCTAGTGTTGATTACTGAAATCATAGCACCAGGGTCGAAAAGTGCGTCGTAATGGCGGTCACCGATTGACATTTCGAATAAATATCTATTCTCCGTTCTGGCTCCATCGATGTCTTCTTCATTACTAAAGTTCGGGTCAGCTGTGATTCTCACAGCCTCTCCCCTCCCCTGGACAATAGGTACCGCAGGTCACATCTGTTCCTTTAGTCCCACACTCTATAACCATTTTCGCTACTAAACTTCGGTAGAGTGAGTTCTCCTCACTCGACCGCTCTTGACTACAATCTGGCATAAATTTGAACGCATTGTCCTCTGTCAAGTCGTCCCTACCCATGACTGGTTCCAAACTTTCCTTAACTTCTTCTTCTCTCTCTAATTCTAATTCTCGCTTAGTTTTTCCCCAACTACAACTAGGCGTGAATCTATCTCTACTCTCGCTCTTTGTCTCTACTCTACATGATTCATACGACTCGGCTCTCCTCTCTACTTCACACGGCTCACGGCTCTCTTCTTTACACCCCTTAACAGTATTCTTTACTGTCCAGTTGGGTTTGAGGGGGGTACAAAGCTGTTCTGTGCCTCCCACATACCGTTTCTCAAAGCGGCTCTGACGGACACACAATTCGGACAATTTAGAAAATTTACCCCTGGTTGTTTACAAACCAAACATGCTTCTGTTTGGGCTGGCTTTAAGGGGCATTGGTTCGAATAGTGATCCTGTTGTTGGCACGAAAAGCAGGTTCTTTGGGGACAATCTCTTGCTCTATGTCCTACCATCTGGCAGTGAAAACAGGCACCGATGAACTCCTTAGGGGTATTTTGAGCCTGTGTACCATTTTGCCCCGCCTTGGGTCCTTTAGGGCCGTTTGGTCTGGGGTAATTTTGTTTCATCCCAGTTAGGAACATCCCTGGGTATACCATTGGGTTGGAAAATGGCATGGGTACTTATCCTGTTTGGGCCGGCGCAGCACTGGCATGGGTGGGGTGTATCATTCGTCTAAGTCCTTGGCCTTCTCGTAATTTCTCAAAATCTTCTCCATCTGGCTCAAAGATTCAAAGTGGAGTCTCTCTAGTTGGCGACAGTAAGCTGGTGTCAGGTCTTTATATGCCAGTTTGACCTGTTGTTTCTGGCTCAGTGGTCGCCTCATGTGACCCAAGATCAGCCGAAAACTGGTTAAGTATGGGGAAATTTTGTCCCCTTTTCCTTGTGTCCTGGCTCGAAGTTCGTCTGTGACGTCATCATCGTCAACTGTCACCAAATACTCATTTTTGAACGCCCTCTGGAATGACCTCCAAGAATTTATTTCACGGCGCAACGACCTAAACCAACTACTAGCGGTTTTCTGGAGAATGATTGTCAGTGCTTGTAAGATTTCTCGGTCTGAGCAGGCCTTGCAGTCTTCTAATCTCTCCAGAAATTCTTCGGCATTGTCATCACCCCCAAAGAATTTTAGGTCCCAGTCCTTAAGTGTTTTTATCACTTTGGACCTCCGGCCGGGCCTAAGTTCTGTATTTTCCCCACCACTGCTCAGTCTCTGACTAAGATCGCTCTCAACTTCAGACTCACTCGAGGAGTCGTCTAAGAATGATCTCCGACTCTCTCCCACTATTCTTTCTGCTCTACGTTCTCTATCCACTTTTCTTTTATTTTTCTCGTTCGGTCGGTCACTACCCTTACTCCTACAACTACACCTACTACTTACACGGCCCTCTTCACTACCACTATACTCAATTTGTCTCTCTATCTTGTCCCTTTTACCCCTACTTTTGCCTTCATTGTTTTCGGGATTCGAGGCTGGCTCTCCATTCTCTGGTACTCTACGATGAGTGATACCAGTATCACCTATGCTACTTCGGCTGGAATGGCTCCTCGGGGCGGGTGTAGGCCTCACTCTATCATTGTATGAGGTCTCGGCTAATAGCTGCGTTTTCTTTGAGGGGACACAATTCTTGATTCTTGATGATGGGTCATTTTGAATCCATCACCGACTGCGGCCCTAAATTGACTTTGTTGCCATTCCCACCCACCTCCCGAATACTGTCGGTCTATTTTCTCGGCATGGGCGATTAGTCTCTCAATTTCGGGAGATAAACCTAACCTCGCTACCGAATCTCGCATACTTTGCACGTTTGGCGCATTGTTGCTGACTGAATCGTGTGGGGTGATGTCATGACCAGTGGTTTGAAATTGAAAAGTAGGGTTTAAAATAACTTAGAGTCTACAAATCTGAACCAATTTTAGTTTTTTTTCTAAATAATCTTGATTAAATTGTTAAGATATCGCTCGAGCCCGATTGTTGATTTTCAATTTGCATAATTATTTAAATTTGTATAAACAATTGAAAGAAACGCACATTTTTACATATTTATTATTATCTCGAAAATCTGGGTAAATTTTTTTAACGCTTAGTATTTTAACTTATACCTATAGTTCTCTGGATTGTACAATGGTGTTGTAGACCCATTTTTTAATTGTTATAAACAAATAGACATTTTAGACGATGACTTTCAAAAAACTTAATGAAACTCGTTACTCGGGGGTTTTGGGGTCGCTGATTACGAATATGACTTCACTTTTTCAAAATTAAAAATGGCGGATCCAATATGGCGGACGACTTTTCTAAAAATCGCTCAGATTCGCCTGAAACTAATTACTCTGAGGTTTTCGGGGTCGCTGATTACCAAAATGACTTCACTTTTTCAAAATTCAAAATGGCGGATCCAATATGGCGGACGACTTTTCTAAAAATCGATCAGATTCGCCTGAATTTCGTTACTTGGGGGTTTTGGTGGTCGCTGATTACAAATATGATGTCACTTTTTCAAAATTCAAAATGTCGGATCCAATATGGCGGACGATTTTTCTAAAAATCGTTCAGATTCGCCTGAAACTCGTTTTTTGTATGTTTTCAGGGTTGCTGATTAAGAATCTAAAATCAGATGTTCAAAATTGAAAATGTCGGGAACAGTCAATCAAATAACTGAAAAATCTCATTAAAGACAATGCAGTTTTTGTAGCCCTAAAAAGGGCTGATTGAAAGCTAATTACTTTTTTTGTGTTAGAATTCATTATTTATTAATTGAAAGATCTAACAATTTGAAAGCTTCTTTATTAAGACTGAACTCATTTAGTTTTGAAAGAAACTAATTTTAATGAGAATCCTCAGATAAAGAGTATAGCACTTACCTTCAAAAACGACATAAATTTTGTACAGTTTCTAGATGTACAGTTTCTCGTACTTATATATTCCTCAACTCATGACATTATTAGAAGAGATTCTCGAAACTAAAACATCGATACCTAGCGGTAGCAAAAGAAATTACCGTAAAAGAGGCTAATTTCGCTCAATTTTTCAATTCTTTTTTAAATAACTTCGGGAAACGATGAAAATAAACATTGGCACTGAAAATATATAATCTCTAACCCTTTCTCTTTCCTATTATTGCTTAAAGAAATTAAAACATGTTGCAGAAAATTATTTATAAGCCGTTTTGTTGTGAGCGACTTTATCTTTAAATGAGGGTAAATTCGCTCACTATTATTATTCTTGCAAAATATATTATAATCTGCAAAAATAAAAAACTAAATATTCTTTAGAATCAATAAAGAAAAAAATTAAGAACAATGTCCAAAGTTATTGGAATAAATATTTAATATTGTTTCATCAATAAGTAATTAAATTCAATCATTCAATTAAACGTACTCATAACCATTAAAAATAAGGTTAAGTCTGACAGTTTAGTGCTTAAACCGTTTTAAATCGTTTAATTTTTAGTTATAAGAGTGCTATTATTAAAAAATGGAATTATAAATTAAAATAATTAACATACTTAAAATATCCAGGCCCAAACATCTTTTTTGTAGACTTATTTCCTGAGCGAATTTACACTACAAATTTGAATTTTTTTTAAATTGATTTTTTGCAGAATCTATTTATTGCTTTTAGTTTTGTACTTTATGAAAATCATGTTGAAGATACAGGAAATGTAATGATCAGAAGGATTCAACTTAAAAATTTTGAAGTAAAGCTTTATTTCCTATGTTTTCATACTACTTGTTCAATATGAAAATTATTCACTTGTGTTTTAAATATAATTTTTATTGAAATTTACTAATAAATCTGCTGCAAATAAATTTTAAATTAAAGTTTACCATTTATATTAACCAAAACAACTGTAAATCTTAAATATTTCTGTCTAAAAAGTATGTTAATAGAATTTTAAAAAATAGATATCTGTTGAGCGAATTTACCCTACATGAGCGAAATTAGCCTCTCTTACGGTATAATGTAAACCGCGCGAATTTTTGAAAATAATTCATTACGAAAAATAAGTAAGAATTGCATATGTCCATCCGTCAATTATTTAGTATTATTATTATTATTCATATTATTAATTTATTAAATAATAATAACAACAACAATACAACTAATAGTTAATATTTGCGGATGTTGCAATTACTTAAGTAAAATAAAACTTTCATCAATAATTTTATTAAGTTATATTAAATAATTTATTAATTAATAAATAACAAAAAAAGAAGGACTTAATTTAATTTTTTAAATAATAAACTAGTAAATAAATTAAAATAATGTATCAAACAATTATTTAATTACTTTAATTTAAATTAATTAAAATTTTTTTTGTTATTTTTCATAAATCAAAAAATTTTTAAAAAATTTGTCCGCCATATTGGATCCGCCATTTTAAATTTTGAAAAAGTGAAGTCATATTCGTAATCAGTGACCCCGAAAACCCCCGAGTAACTAGTTTCAGGCGAATCTGAGCGATTTTTAGAAAAGTCGTCCGCCATATTGGATCCGCCATTTTGAATTTTGAAAAAGTGACGTCATATTCGTAATCAGCGACCTCAAAACCCCCGAGTAACGAGTTTCATTAAGCTTTTTGAAAGCCATCGTCTGAAATGTCTATTTGTTTATATAATTTGTTTATAACAATTAAAAAATGGGTCTACAACACCATTTTACAATCCAGAGAACTATAGGTATAAGTTAAAATACTTAGCGTTAAAAAAAAAATCCATATTTTTGAGATAATAATAAATATGTAAAAAAGTGCGTTTTTTTTAATTGTTTATACAAATGTAAATAATTATGCAAATTGAAAATCAAAAATCGGGCTCGAGCGATCTCTTAGAAATTTAATCAAGATTATTTAGAAAAAAGAAAATCTAAAATCAGTTAAGATTTTTAGACTCTAAGTTATTTTGAACCCTACTTTTCAATTTCAAATCACTGTGGACCGTGCTGGTTGTCATGCTCAGCTGGGCACTCGTTGTGGTGGGAGAAACTGTCGTCATGCTGGCTGTTGTCATGGCTGGGGGTGGGGGTATAAAATTTGGGGTGGACGCAACGCTAGTCGGACTAGGTCTACTGTACGGTGCTCCATTTTTCGTTCTACTTCCCCCACTCCCTAGGGTTTTCCTAGCACTTATTCGCTCGCTGACTTGACTTGCCCCGCTGTCTAATTCTTCGTCATCTACCGATGACATCTGGCCACCTCTACGATATGTGACAAAGGGAAATTTGTTAGTTTCTGGCTCGGGAAAGGCTTCCACTAAAAAGATTTTATCAACTTGTGGCGAACCACTAATACACAATTGGTGTCTCAATAAATTCGTCACTACTTGTCCAACTTTCATGATTTTAATTGTTTCTTATGCTCGGCTTACGCATGGCATTTCAATTAGTTCGCTCATGCGTCTCTTGTAGTCGTACATATCGCTAATTGTCTTTGCCATTTCGAAAAATCAAAAAAAATTCTAAGTTCGAATAATTTTAAATTTTCAGGGGGGTGCACAATTAGTATACACGGCCCTGTGCTGTCTTGAAAGCAAGGACGTACCTACTCAAGGAGGGCCCCCTTTTATAAATATTCTTTTTCTGGCGGACTGGTGACTCTCTCTCTCTCTCTCTCTCTCTCTCTCTCTCTCTCTCTCTCTCTCTCTCTCTCTCTCTCTCTCTCTCTCTCTCTCTCTCTCTCTCTCTGTAGCCACTATTACTACTACTACTACTGAGCCACTTTTCCTGGCGCGCGCAAACTTTCTCTCGGCTGCTAAAATTTCAAATATCCCGGCGCGTCGTTTCTCTCGACTGTCCGGCACACTATTTGCAGTCACGTGACTAATTCGGATTTTATTTCCGGTCTAACATGTGCTCGACATAAAATTTTGTGAAAATTTTTGATTTTGCACAAGTTTGTCGGGAATTTTACTCCGAATTTTCTCACAAAACTTGCTTTCGACAAGACAAAAAAAAATTTAATTTCTTGACTTAAATTTTTATCACGACAGGAATTTTTACTGTCTCAAAAGAAAATTAAATTTAACTTCAATGGCAAAGGCACTCTACAATTTTATTTTATGCAAATGTTGGCAGTAATTTACTCATAACTTTATAAATAAATAATTTCTGGCATTGGGAAAAATAAATTGACAAACAATCAAAAAAATGAATTTTGAATTTTCTGGCTTTTGGCAACAAAAAAAAATGTCTGACTCTGGCAGATTCAGAATTCAGGCAAACAAATATATAATGCACTGGCAAAGAAAAATAATAAATTTAGTCGTGTCTCGGTTTGAGCTTGGCCCCACGTTGGGCGCCAAATTTTGTGACGTGTAATTTTAACTATTTTTAATTTAGTGTAAAACTTCTGCTTACGTCAGGCAAAATCCGACGCTTTCAACAACAATACAATTTGAAATTTACATAAATAAATTTCGCCGTCAGGCGCCAATTAATTTTAAAAATAATTAATAAACTTAAACTCTGCTCGACTAACTAACAACAATTTCTACACCTCTGAGTTTCTCTTTCACTCAGAGGGAATTCTGCTCGAACAGTTGACAGCAGAAAAGCCAACGGCGAGACACGACTGGTTTAATACTGGCAACAATGACTTACCCACGGTGATCTACCCTGGGGCTTCTCCGTTTAATCTCCCTCTTTGGCTCAACGTGACTTCTCCTCGCAGTCGTGATCCTCAGTAGGAAATTTAAATGGGAACTTAAAACAAAACAATTTTTTACGAATGATTTCTTTTAAACTACACTATTTATTTTATCCTCAATGAACTCCCGGGTTTCACACTCCACTTCTCAATTCAATACACTTTTACAACTCGATAATATATTTAGAACTTCTCGACAACAAGATACTGGTGTACCGGCGCGGTATATGGAAAATTCTATTATGGCGGCGAAAGTATTGGACACCTGTCGCGTCTCTACTTTCACCGCACGTGTTCGTCTTCTTCATCATTCCGTCTCCCTCGTTCCGCTGGCTCTCCTCTTTCTATCTTTTTCTACTCCTCACCGGCCCTGCCCTCTGGCCCTTTCTTCAGTCATATGCTAAACTTTTTGAAAAACTTAAAAATGTGTAAAACTTTGTTTCAGTGCAATAAAATTATATTCGAATAAACTCAAAACAATATATTAACCCTAATAAACTGATGTAATTAATCGAAGTCATAATTACATATTATATATACGTTATAGCCTGGCCATTTTTGTAAAATTATTTAATATCAATGAGTGCCGGGCTAAAAAAGTTTCCTTTTTATCTAAAAAAACAAATACAAAAATAATAAAGTGAATGTGTGAATAACTAATGGACCCAAAAACTGATTGAATGTAAAAAAGAGATTTTATTGAATTTTTGCAGTAATTTTCAATGTTTCTTTAAAAAAATGGTTCTTTTCTGAAGCGCGCTGAAGCTAGCAGTCGTAGTCAGCACCAATCCATAGCCGCCAACCATCAATATTTCCAAAAATGCCCCTCCATTAAATATATAGTAATATTCAATGATTTAAAAGGTGATAACTAAATAAAAACTGACTTTACGTGTACCCAACAACAAACAACTTCGAAAACTACAAAAATTTCATTGTTAATTAATTAAATTATTATAAACAATGACCAGCACCAATATTTCACTGCCAGAATTTTGGTCTTATTAGAGAAAATTCTAATTTAAAAAAATCTAGAAGGGTAGAAAACGTCGGATGATTTACAGAATACTAAGGAAACATATCTTAACAAACATGAGAAATTAAACAATTAAATTGTTATAAACAATAGCCAGCAACAATCTTTCACTGCCAGAATTTTGTGTTTTTTTGAGAAATTTTTAAATTTAAAATTTTTAAAAAATATATGGGGGTAGAAAACGACAGGAATTTTTCAGAATGCTCAGAAAACATATCCTAACAAATTCTAAAAGTAAAAAAATTAAGTTGTTATAAACAATGGCCAGCACAAAAAATTATTTTTTAGAATTTTTTTTTTTCTGAGAAATTCTTCATTTAAAAAAAATCTATGGATAAAATGGATGTTTAAGACCAATTAAATTAAAATTTAAACTCCTTCCTCTTAATAAAAGCTATTTCCTATTCGTGTGTTCAATAGAACAAAATGGAGAAAATATCAAACTTTAAAAAATATAAGTCTCAACTTCTCACGAAAAAAACTGCTATTAGCCAATAAAAAAATCAAACTCCTCCTACATTTTTATTCATTGGTTCATTTAAACAAAATGGAGAAAAATTTATTATTTAATAAATAAAACATATAATTCCAACCCCCAAAAGAAAAACTGGATGTTCTAGACCAAGTAAAATAAAATTTAAACTCCTCCTTCTTAATCAAAGTTTTTTTTCTATTTGTTGGTTGAGCTAAACAAAATGGAGAAAAAATTAAATATTTAAATTTAAAACATACTATTCCAACCCCCAAAAGAAAAAATGGATGTTCTAGACCAATTAAAATAAAATTTAAACTCCTCCTTCTTAAAGAAACCTTTTTTCTAATTGTTGGTTCAATAGAACAAAATGGAGAAAATATTAAACTTTAAAAAATATAAAATTTAGTCCGAACCCTCAAAAGATAAAATGGATGTTTAAGACCAATTAAATTAAAATTTAAACTCCTCCCTTTAAAAAAAAACTATTTTTTATTCGTGGGTTTTAAAGAACGAAATGGAGAAAATATTAAAATTTAAAAGCTATAAGTCTCAACCCCTCACGAAAAAAACTGTTATTAGCCAATAAAAAAATCAAACTCCTCCTAAATTTTTATTCTTTGGTTGAGTTAAACAAAATGGAGAAAAATTTATTATTTAAGAAATAAAACATATAATTTTTTTTATTGTTTATCCCTTTCACACCCAGGCATAACTGGACGGTTAAAAAAACGTACGTGTAACGTTATTTATAGTTTTCGGGGTCGCTGATTACGAATCTGATATCAAAATTATAAAACTTTATAAATTAAAAATGGCGTATCCAATATAGCGGGCAACTTTTTTACATATTGATCGGATTGGCTTGGAAATTGTTACTCGGGGGTTTTTGAAGTCGCTGATTACGAATATGACATCATTTTTTCAATTCAAAATGGCGGATCCAAGATGGCGGACGATTTTTTTTAAATCGTTTAGTTTTACCAGAAACTTGTTACTCGAAGGTTTTCAGGGTCGCTGAATACGAATCCGGTGTTATATTTTTAAAATTCAAAATGGCGGATCTAATATGGCGGACGTTATTTTTAAAATCGTTTAGTTTCACCAGAAACTAGTTACTCGGCGGTTTTCGGGGTCGCTGATTACGAATCCAGTGAGAGTAGAAAGAAACAAGTCCATCTACTGACAGAAATAAATAAATAAATACACAATCGCAATTTTAAAACAAACTACAAATTCGTAATCAGAGACCATAAAAACCCTTGAGTGACAAGTTTCCCTCTAATCCAAAAATTTTTTACATTTGTCGTCCGCCGTATAGAATCCGCCATTTTGAATTTTTAAAAATTAACACTTAATTCGTAATCAGCGACTCAGAAAACTTCCGAGTAACAAGTTTCAGGTGAAATTAAAATGTTTTGAAAAAATCGTCCGCCATCTTGGATCCGCTATTTTGAATTTTAAAAATATAACACTGGATTCGTAATTAGCGACCCCGAAAACCCCTGAGTAACAAGTTTCTGGTGAAACTAAACGATTTTAAAAATAACGCCTGTCATATTGGATTCGCCATTTTGAATTTTAAAAATATAACACCGGATTCGTATTCAGCAACCCCGTAAACCCCCGAGTAACAATTTTTAGGTGAAATTAAAATGTTTAAAAATAATCGTCCGCCATCTTGGATCCGCTATTTTGAATTTTAAAAAACTGATATTATATTCGTAATAAGCGACCCTAAAAACCCCCGAGTAACAAGTTTTATGCTAATCCGTTTAATTTTTACATTTGTCGTCCGCCATATTTTATCCGCCATTTTGAATTTTGAAAAACTAGCACCGGATTAGTAACCAGCGACCCCAAAAACCCCCGAGTAACAATTTTTAGGCGATTTTAAAATATTGTAAAAATTCATGATTTTTAACAATAATTTATGAATTTTTTTAAACAATAGGAATTTTTTAACATGATCTAAGTTACTTATTTTTAAAGCTCTATTCTTCCTGAAGAGAACGCACTAAATTAGACTTAAAAATATTAAGTTTCTTTAAAGATATTGAGGTTTTTGTAGGTGGGACGTATATGTCCCATGGGCGTGAAAGGGTTATACTCCTGCCCTATTGGCCTTACGCACTTCGACAAGAGTCCCCGAGAAATACTTTTTTGGATTAAGCATAACCATTCTACTTATGAAATTTTCTATATATTAACCTAATTTGCGTCTACAGCCGACTTTTATTAGGAGTACTCGCATTCCGCCTGGACCACCCGTCAATGGGTTTTCTCGATAGAGAAGAGGGAAACTGTAGAAAACCTCTCCTGAGTACAACCGGTTTATCGACAGTCGAGTTCTAATGGTGTGAACCGGACAATAATCGACGGTGCACATCATTATACCTCGACGTCAAACCTCCCGCTCAGATTTTCTCACGTGCCGGAAAAATACCAAGCCAAATGGGCGCGAACCAAGGGTACTTATACCCTTGGTCCTTAAACGACCGCCAAGCGAGGCATCTATCCGACTGAGCTAATCTGTCGGTTATAAAACATATAATTCCAACCCCCAAAAAGAAAAATGGATGATTTAGACCAAATAAAATAAAATTTAAACTCCTCCTTCTTAAAGAAAAAAATTTTTTATTTGTGGCTTCAATAAAACAAAATGGAGAAAATATTAATATTTAAAAAATATAAAATTTAGTCCCAACCCCCAAAAGATAAAATGGATATTTAAGACCAATTAAATTAAAAATTAAACTCCTCCCTTTTAATAAAAACTATTTTTCATTCGTGGGTTCAAAAGAACGAAATAAAAATTTAGGAGGAGTTTGATTTTTTTATTGGCTAATAGCAGTTTTTTGCCTTAAGGGGTTAAGACTTATATTTTTTAAAGTTTAATATTTTCTCCATTTCGTTCTTTTGAACCTACGAATGAAAAATAGTTTTTATTAAAAGGGAGGAGTTTAATTTTTAATTTAATTGGTCTTAAATATCCATTTTATCTTTTGGGGGTTAGGACTAAATTTTTTATTTTTTAAATATTAATAATTTCTCCATTTTGTTCTATTGAAGCCACAAATAAAAAATATTTTTCTTTAAGAAGGAGGAGTTTAAATTTTATTTTAATTGGTCTAAATCATCCATTTTTCTTTTTGGGGGTTGGAATTATATGATTTATTATTTAAATATTAATTTTTTCTCCATTTTGTTTAACTCAACCAACAAATACAAAAATTGATTTTGAAAATGGAAGAAGTTTGTTTATTATTTTTATTGGTTTAAATCATCCATTTTTTCTTTGGGGGTTGGTAATATATGTGTTATTTTTTAAATATTAATTATTTTCTCCATTTTCTTTAACTCAACCAACAAATAAAAAATTGCACTTTGATAACACAGGCACACAAAAAAATAAAAAAGTCAAAACCCAGAGGTCACACCCCCCTATCCCCATGTTTTTGGGGTCGCTGAAACCGAATATGACCATGAAAAATTTTTCTCATCGGCCATTTTCCCGCTACCACCCCCTTACACCTGCTCCCGGGGGTTGGAATTTCAGTGTTACGTATGACTTCGTAACATTTATATTTACATAGAAACAACGAATTTTAATTGAATTATATA